TTTGTTTTTCATTTTCTGCTGAAAGGGTAGAAAATGTAATCTTCATTTGCTAAAAATGAGCACCTTGTTTCGTCTCTAAGTCAATACCATGACAAACAATTTTATGTTTTATCCGTCGGCCTTGAAGATTTATTTATACCATCTGTTATTTCTATCGGATTATCTGAGCTTGTTCAATTCATTAGTTTCTTAAAAGTCAATAAAACTAAATATTCTCTCAATGTTGACTAATGTTGACTGTTTAGAATTTGTTTTATAATTCCTCTTTATCGGATTTGTGTCACTATCTTCTTTTATCGATTTATCATGCTTTGTTCCAAACACACATCGTGTTTTCTATCTATATTGATTTTGTCTAAATATGTTCTAAATCTGTTTGTAATACTCAAATGGTCATTTTGAGATATATGGAAGAAAAGGATGAACATTGTTTTAAACACGTATCACATACCATCACACTGTCGGCTGTTTATTTTCATTTCATTTATAATACCGTACCTAAATAAACACACATATATACAGCAGACAACTTATCAAAAGGAAAAACTTTTGTGTTTAAGTAAATAATTTTACTCAAATCTATATGTTAAAATTCAACTAATGCATGCTACGATAAAATAAAATAAAAGATTGAAGAATTTTACTTTTTGTTTTTTTTTCCGCAAGATGATCATAATGAAACAATTCAAATGAAATTTATCTTTATTTATATTGAAATGAAAATAACAGTTGGGTGGAGTCAACGTGCTTAATAACTGTGAAAAAAGTCATGTTGACAAATTGACCTCACTTCGTAATTCTCGTTCATCCATACGCACGAAATAACATACGAGATATGAAAGATAGGTACGTATAAGGGTACACTCAAACAAAAATGATCAATCATTATATTTTAACATACAATAGAAATTAAAATTCATATCTTGACTATTGTATATGAGAAATTAAAGAAGCAACAAGTCCTTCGCTCTATTTTTTTCTCTCTTTCTCTTTACCTATTTTAAATTCAATTACTTATACTCTATCCTATATACAAACAATAACCATAACAATAAGGAACGAGAAGATATCTGTAATTTTAAGTGTTGTGTGAATAACAATTATTATAGTAGAAAAAGAGAGATATAGACGATGCCATCTTATACTATTATTAGAATAAATGATAAGATTGATTGATATAGCAACACTTATGAGATATACACATGCACACACATTCTATTTCATGGTTAATAAATTTATTGATTGTTATACATACTGATGTGATGATAAATAGAATCAGGTACATATTTGGATTATTGCTAATGTAGAACTTGTTTACTTATCAGAAAATATTTATATGGTATAATTAGATTGCATATTTAAGAATTTAACTTTATCGAAATGTGCCTTAAGGTCATATATACGTGTAGAATCAGAGGATAAGAAAGTAGTCGATAGTAAAAGTAATATATATATATTTCTGTTAAGAATAGATAGCAGATATCTCAAATGCTAGAGGGTTTTCCAATTTTGAGAGCAATAATTCAGTTTTTTTCTTCTATATTCAATAATGAATAAGCAATAAGTAAGAAATTTGTTCACTTTCAAAAAAAGTGGTTTGTACAATTTTAATCCTAAACTTGTTAGAAATAATATTCATTATTAGTTAATTTGTATTATCTTATGTAAATGCATGAGAATTATCCTCATGTTGATTGTCAATCAATAATTCTTATTCAGAAAATGCGATCAAACGTAACCATCTGCCACTGAGAGATATTATAAATTTGGCTAATCATCATATATTTTGGCACCTTTTTTTTTTCTTTTTTGTTGTTCGTCATACATAAGAAATTTGATTATTTTCGTCTGTATGAATGAAGAATATAATGAACGTTTAAAAAACAATTGTGATTAAGTTTACAGAGAGAGAAGACGAAAAAAAAAAGTGTTTGAAGATTAAAAATAAAAGACTGTATACAGACAAATCACTCTCTATTGATAGTCTAAATTCTTACTATATATTCCTAAATATGACAGGTGTCGATAGTCATTTAAGTTAACAATTAATTTATTAGATCTTTTATGATCGTACCTGTTCATAGAAGACAAAATATGTGCCTACTATCAAAGGCCATGGAGAGCATTTGAGAAGAATAAAACGTTTTAGGTAAGATGACATAGAATCATGAGTTAGTTTTGCAGCATATATAGAACATATACTATATGATAGTTAAAGAGCAAATAAGATAGACTTTCAATCGATCATTATTATTAGCATATATTTTTATTTTACTAAAAAATTTTCTCATCTCATCAATAAACATCATTATAAATAATATTTTTTTTAGTTCATTATTTTATTGATGATTATGAACGATTAAAAAGCAACGTATAACTCAATTTCTTTTAAAAGAATCGACATAGATAAGTAATAAAAGTTTTAAACCTGCTTTCAGAATTTCACGAGAGAAGTTCATAAACTAATAAGAAGAATAGGAGAAAGATTTTTGGATGACATTGTCACAGTAACAACAAAGAATTAATGTATGTTGATGATTATTTGTCACTGTGTGTATGTGTACAAATGAGAGAAACGATTTTGTTACATCATGTCGAACAAACTCTTCTTTTTTTTTCTTTTTTTGTATTGAAAAGTTTTTATTCATTCTATGCATCTTATCTCATCGTCGATTTTCTACACTATAGTGTCAAGAATGCGCGACATTCTTTTGTTCAAGAGTTTTTCTATTATGCAATAAAAAATTTTCTGTTGCTGCTGCTGCTGATAATGATGATGAGAAGAAGAGAAGAGAAGAAATGAACAATTGGTCGTCGTTCGAGTAGATACGATATAAAAATTTACAATTTAAAACTACTCATATTAATAGAATGTGAGACGCCATATGATAAAAATTATATCGTATAAAGAAAGAAAGTGACATGTCAAAAATGGAAATAAAAAAAAAAAAATTAAATAAAGGTCTCTCGCATCACGCTCTTTCTCTCGGTGGACATTAGTGTAAATAGTTTTATTTTGCATCACACAAATCATCTTATCTTTCTTATAGAGAAAACAATTCTTTTTTTTTTTTTTTTCTTTTCGTAATACTGATCGTTTTTCAGTTATTAAATAGATTTATAGACACACATAAACACAGTAATAAGTTCCGGATTGAACACAGTTTACAAATTCCGTTTTAGTATAGACAGAAGAAGCGATTTTTCTCAAACATTTTCCTTCCGGACAAATTTTTTCATTTAAGCGGTTTTACACACAGTTAATAACAAACATTTGAATGATGTCGAATAGATCGTAGTGTATAAAGAAAACATGATTTCCGAATATTTATCAAAAAAAAAAAAAAGAGTGTAACAAGATTTACTTGATGACAGTTTGAAACTTCTGATTCAATTAATCGATGGATATTTTTACAGCATGTCAAATTATCTGCAAAAAAATAAAATAAAATAAAATTGATCAATTCACAATTCGTTTATCAATCTTGATTGAGATAGCAAAATTACATCTATACACATTAGGTAAATCAAGTTCACGTCAAAGCGTTTTCACCAAAACGTTTTTGATAATTGAAAAGAAAACTGTCATTTTCGGAGATATTAATTTTGATTACGAGATCACACCCTTCTTTTTCCTGTTATCAGTTCTCACCGTATACATTCAACGTTCTTAGCAACTGATAAAGTTAATTTTCATTCAAACATGTAGACGTATGTATATATTCTCTATATTTACTTATAAATTCAATAAACTCTCTCTCTCTTTCTCTCTCTCTCACTCTCTGCTATCTCTATTGTATTACATCATTATTCATTATTGTTGAAAATGACCAACTTCTTGATATCATTGTGTTTCTATCTTTTTATCAGTCAAACCACTCATCTTAAAATTTATACTGTTCATGTCAAAAAAGAAAACATAATAATTTGTTCTCTCTTACATCATAATAAGGTCTGTTTAAGAAGAAGAATAAGAAAACTCATCTCATTTCTTTTGTTATCATTAGTACTGTGGACTATCGATAAGATTATCATAATTTCTCGGTGGAATTTTGACATCAAGTTAACTGTCACATAGTCTATTCTTTTGACCACACGATGAATGAATGAATAAATGAACAACAACAATACACTTGTCATTAGTTGTCTATATCATTTCCATAATGGAATCAATCAGCAACGAGAATGTTTACGAGATGATCATTAGATTATTACTTTGGTCGGTCATTTCGATGTATCGATGATGCCGTCAGCCATTTTTATTTCTGCAAATGTTTTTTTTTCTTTCTCTCTTTCTTACTCTAATTCTTATTTTTTTTTCTTCTTCTCGCATAATTGAAATGTATATATTTTTTTCTTCTTTCTCAATTGAACACATGTTCATCTATATATATATATATATATATCGAGAGATAAAACATCCCTCAAATGCAATGAGATATTCTTTGTCTCATATTTCATCGAATATTAATTACATTTTTCTTTACTATACATCGAGAGAGATATAATTTTTTTCTATTTATATTAAAAATAACAGTGGATGATCTTCAAATTCTAAGATAATAAGGTAAAAACACTATATTTGATTTCTAATGGATTTTAGTGTATATATGTGTAGTTAGTAGACAGTGAGAGAGAGAGAAAGAGAAAAAAAATCACAGTAGCATATACTGATTTCTTTCATCTCTAAATGCACATACTATATTAAATAAACATTAATGGAGACAAACGTTTGTTTTTATAAAACTTGTCATGAAATATATAGATCTACTCATGTTTCTTTACCTTTCTTTTAAATAACAAAGCTAATGATCATAATAGTTTTTACAGACTAGTCTAATGATTCGATTTTATTTCAACTAATAGGTCTTAAAATATGATTATATCGTGTGTATTTATGGAATAACAGACATGATGATAATTTCTATGATAAAAAATATATTTTTTATTATGTTTTATTTTTTTTTTACTCTCTTTTTATAGATGATATTGGAATTAAAATGAAATTAAAACAATTTTCTATTTATAATATATTTATTCCAATAGTATCTCTAATTGTTACTATTATATGTTGTCCATTACCAGATAATTATTTTAAATTATGTCATTGTGGTATACTTATTAGTGGTGTTAATTATATTGAATGTGATCGACAATCGTTACGTGTTATACCACCATTTAAACGTTCATTTCCCTATGATGATTTAATACTTAGTCATAATTTAATTGAAAATTTAACTCAAAATTCATTTGATAATATTAAAGGTATTCGACGTATTTATCTTGATAATAATCCAATACAATTTATCGATAATGATGTATTACGTTTATTAGGAAATTATTTAGAAGATTTTATTATATCAGCCAATAATAAATTTGATTCATTAGAATTTTTATTTAGATATCCATTAAAAAAATTACGTCTTTTAAAATTAACTAATTTTAATCTTAAAAATAAACAATTAACATCAACATTATTTAGTAATATGACAAGATTAGAAATATTATATATTCAAAATTGTCAATTAAAAACAATTGATTTTTCTCAATATTCACTAAATAATTTATATACATTAGATTTACAAGACAATCAATTATCCTATTTAAATTTAAAATCAGTTATATCATTAAAAAATTTAAATTTAGCAAATAATCATATTCATATAACAAAAGGTAATTTAACAATATAAAAGAAAGAATATAGAATAATTTTTAAAAATTTTTATTCTTTCACGTCTTATATCTAATATATATATATATATTTTCTTTTTTGTATTTTTTTTTTTAGATCTAAATATAAATTCAATAGATGGATTACCAACAAGTTTAATTAATATAGATTTAAGTACAAATCGTATTAACGATTTTGATTTATTTCGTAATTTAAACAAATTACAGATATTATCGTTAAATAATAATTCATTAAAACAATTACCTGATCTACTTCAATTACCATTAACATTAAAATCATTTGATCTTAGTTTAAATCAATTAAAAACAATAAATAATTCAACAAAAATATTTTTTGAACAATTAACAAATTTAAATCTTCAAAATAATCCTCTTGAATGTGATTGTCATTTAAAATGGTTATATAAACTTGTTATTGAACAAAAACAACGAGTCAATATAACAAATGGAAATGATGATCATTTAATTGATTCAATAATGACTAATAATGATTCATTCTATATTAATCCAACAAAATGGACATGTTCAGATAAAAAACAATTTTTATCATCTGATTTTCAATGTATACTTATTCCAAAATTAATATTATTTAATTTAACTTATATTCAAGCAAATGTATTAGAACAATTGACAGACGGTCTACTCTTACAATGGCAAATGAATGATCTTACATTTGTTAATTATTATCAAATTAGTTATGAATTAGATCGTTCTCAATTATCATCATTAATCATTTCTAATCGTTTATCAAAAAATATGAGTCAATTATTTATTACAAATATTCTTCAATATAAACGTTATCATGTCTGTTTAATTATTTATCATAAATTTGCTAAAGATAAATATTGTCGTGATATTTTAACCATTAATATTGTCAAATATTCATCTCAAATTATCTTATCAAATCAACTATTAACAAATTTAGTCACTATTCTTCCTTCCTCATCACCATTGTCTCTTAATCAACAAACAAATAGTCCAACAACACAAATAATGCTTATTGGTTCATGTATAGGTGTATTTCTTACACTTATACTTTTATTTACATGTATTTATTTATGTTGTAAAATAAAGCAATTCAATCGAAAACATTCAAAATCGATTAATATTCATCAAGATACATATCATCCACCACCATCACGACGTACTACTACTACATTTACCTGTTGTGAACATCATGATAAACATCAACCCTATTGTTCGGCTGCTCAGTTATTTAATTTTCAACAAGTTTTACCACCATTACCACCACCACCCTATCCAACTTCAACTCTGTATCATCATCATCCTCATCATCATCATCCAATTCATACATGCCAACATTATAATACGTCAGAAAATACATCAAATTCAACAGACAGTAGTCATTTAGGTGATTCATTACATAGTAATAAACATCAACAACATATTTATCAAGAAATCACAAACAATAATAATATTGTTGATAATAATGAACAGAAAATGTTTGACTTATGGAATATGTCCGTATCAACAGCAACCGATACAACTACCTCAAATATAACAAATTTATCTAATAATGATCATATCACACCACATAGAACAAGACAAACTTTAAAACATATAAGATAAAACAAAATTTTTTGTGTTTTTTTTTCTTTTCATTTAAATGATTTATTTTTTTATGCTGTAAAAATAAGAAAATTGATGATATTAGAATTTTTAAATAGAAGATTTGAAAAAAGAGAAATTATACTCATCGTTGGCTTTTCGATCAGTAATAAAACGGTATAGGCAGTAGTTTTCTTCAGAATTATCTTTTGCTTATATTTAAATAACATCAGTATAAATTGTTTAATTCTCTCATAAATTTATATTGGAATCCTTTTCTTATTCATCTCTATCGTTCATTTATGTTTTAGAATTAAAACTTTAGTGTAAAAACATCTATTTACTAGTGTCAAAATGAACATAAAACTGAAAATTATACATGTATATCATTAATTTTGTTTTAAAGTGATATCAGTAAATAATAGTCACTTATTGGTGTTTTTTTCATGTAAATTTTATAACATCATTAAGTTAATATTGTTGTATACAAAAAGACAAAAAGAAAAATTTGTCTTTACAATGAATAGTATGATTATTCTCAAATGATAATCGTGCTTTTCTTTTTTTTATTACTCTACAAAACAATAAATTTCAATTAAGACTTTTCTGTTTCTTTCTGATTAACATGTAGATACTTTTTAAAAAAAAGAAAAAAATTGAAAATTAACTGAATGTACATAAAATATATATGAAAGGCAAACAAAAGAAACAAAATTAGTAATATGTAGCTAAAAAAATTCAATTTGTCATTTTTAATGTTTAGAAACGCACCACTAAGTATATGCTGATAAAGGACATAAAGCTCAAATTCGCCATGTGTTACCATAAAGTGATATACTCTGAATGATAAATGAATTACACGTCTCTATGTTTTTGCACAATCAGTTTACTCTCTTGATATAGAACGGAAGCCAAGAGTAAAAAAGGTAAATACTTGATTAGAGAGCAAAAACATGTCTATACTATATTTTTCTTTTTTAACGTCATGAAAGTAATCTTGTAAAATAGACCCATCTCTCTCTTTTATAATTGAAGATGACTTTTTTTTTTTTTTTTGTTGGTAGCTGAAGTATTTAGATAGACAAAATACAGACAATAACCATTTGGCAGCTCGAGACATGACCGTATAATTGATACATTCATAAATACAGACAAACAGAAGAGAAAGGCAGAGAGAGAGAACATGCCACATATTCACATATGAAATCTCAAAGCAACAAATAATGCTCTTCAATTGCAATAATATGTATATCAAGTACTTTATAGAAAAAAACAATTTCAACTATACGTGACTTGTCGTCATTTTTTTTTTTTAGGAGTTGAACAATGGAACAATGGAGTATCATACTTTTAATTTTGATAATTGATCACCGCATTCCCTCTCCACTTTAGAAAGGTGTTGAATACTAGAGAATGACAACTTTGCGTAGTACATACTTCACTGAACTTCATATACTTTTAAAAATCCTGATCTTTATTGCAATGATATAAATCGGATATTGTCAGAGAAGAGAAAGAACGTTAAACAAATGTTAAAAGTTTACCAAGCTTTTCTATGTGTTATTCGACGGATCCGTGTAACACAATTAAAAATAAAAAATGTTTAAAGAGTGAGACTAGAAAGTATGCAAAATACTTCTAGTATTTTGTTAAAATCGAAAAAATCGATCTCAATAGCGAACAGTGAACATTTTTTCACACAGGCGGATATCAAATTTTTATCATCCAAAATGGTTGTTTTGAGCTTAGAATGGTCCTCTATAACTGAAAATAGTATTTTCGCAAGAAAAGTCTTATTGTAAAAATTTCTAATTTTTGATAAAAAATGCATGAGATCTTCTGTAGGTGAAATTTTTTGAACTAGAAAAATATCTCCGAAGATGTTTGAAAACTATATCATTTGATGCAGTTTTGTACGCTGAACCCGAATATGACCATTTTTCTTAAAAAGTGTTCCTGGACTGAAAAAAAAAAGAATATTTGTGCAAAAAGAAAAAATTTCTCCACTAGCTGGCAGCTGAAGAAGCTTAGATTGAGAATCTATGTCGTTTTGGGGTTGAAATTTCATAATAAAAATGTTTTACCTCTCGCTGATATGTTTTAAGGCTACTTTCTAATTATGAGTTTTTCCAGGTTCCTTAGCACATGGTATAGTACTGATTTTTTGTTATATGAAAAACAGAAAGGTTCAAGACATTTCAAGATCGACGACATGGGCGAAAAACTTTTTATCTGCAATCTGCGTTTTACCGGCGTAGGTGTCTAGCATATTTTTTTAGTATCCATTTTTCTGAATAACTTTCTATACAGACCAGATAAAAGTTTCGATTTTTCGCCAGATTTTGACGCATCTTTTTCTAAAGAATGAGGTTCTAATACTTCTTCTACAGAAGGATTTCCGAGAGATACTGGAAAACTAGGTTTTCTCACCTACTTTGAGAAACAATTGCTTTTTCTTTGAGAGTTTAGAGCGTTCTCTACGAAATGGTTCGACTCAAATTTATTCTGAAATAAAAAGTTTGAAAAACTTCAATAACCTTTACTTTTGAATATAAAAGTATCATTTCTACATCTCAAATCACAAGATTATGTTAAACATGTAAAATCGAGTCTATGGTGAAACTATGAGTCATTTGGATTGATTTGAAGTGAGATAAGCAATTTCAGCCTAAATTTGACTAAAAATGGATTTTCACTACGTTTTTAATGTTTTTTTTCGACACAAAAAACATTCTCAAGACACTGAAAGTGTTGTCAATTTATGTTCCATTCATTGAAAAACTTTCTACATGTAAGAAAAAAACGATTTCAATACTGCCAGCAAATTCGGTGATCCATCGGAACTTTCATAGATAAAACGTTTCACAGCACATTCGTCACCATACACTTTCGTCATCGGGTAACGCTGAAATTTTGTCACATGACGAAAGTTCTGTTTTCAGTGACAAAAATTCTCTCGGCATGTGACGAAAGGTTAACCACGTTTGAATAGTGGTTAGAAAAGTTAATCCATTATGTGACGAAAGTTCGTTTTCGGTTGTGACAAAAGTATCTGGTTTTTTAGACAAGTCGGCACTTTTGTCACACGTTGCATGAAATGGTGGTTGGATTTCGTGGTTGGTTGCGATGAAATTAAGATTGTAGGTGCAAAGTTCATTAGTCCAAACTGTAGCAGTGCAAGCTGGAGTAATAACTTCCTGCTTTTTTCTTTACAAACATTGCATTTTCTTAGCGTAAAAAAACCCTTCTGAAGTCTTTTTCTAAAGTCAAAATATCAAAATCAAGCGTCTATTGCGTTTGGAAATGGTTCGGTCTAAAGTAATTCACACTGCAGCAGTCGAAATTGGAGTAGTTCACATGTAAGCAGTTCTATGAAAGTTCGCGATGGCGTGCGACGGTAGTTATAGGTATGTTACATAGTTGGTTACGAAAGTTCACCACCCTTGTGACGAAAGTGTGGGGTGGTACTCCTCCAAAAATGTCATACACTTTCGTCACGTGTGACAAAAGTTCTTTTTTCTATGTGACGAAAACTAACGTGATGAAAGCACTGTCACCCGATAAAGCAAGCTATTGACGTTCATGTCGTATAAGACACTAAGTTATCTAACTATAAAAGTTGTAGGTTTCCATAGGTCCATCGAAAATTAACGATATATTGAAACTTAGCTTTTTTAGAAAAGATGCAACGCTAGTCTTTGAAGTCGAATGGTAAAATCCTCTAGGACTCTTTGTCTCATAGAAGATATCTGTATTTAGGTTTTTACTCTATAGTCATGTAAGAAACAAACAGTTGTACAATAATTTTGCCGTTTAAAGCGTTAGGTGCCAGATTACGGTGATATGTCTATTTCTCTATGCGGATTATGAGCAGTAAAGGAAAGTATATTGATTTATGGAACGCAGATTCCAATAAATGTATTTCATTTTTCTAGAACTGTTCACCAACATAGATAACGTGAAAATATTTAGATGGATCCTAGGATAAGCGGTGATGAGTACGGATAGTAATGCAAAACACTTGTTTTTTTCTAGAAAAACTATGCTAATTCTCATAAATATAGCTCCAGAGTAGGTTTGGAAGCAGATATACGGTATCTAGCGAATAGTTGTAAAATAGGTGATTTGATATTTGATTGAATCACACGATTTCGTAAGTGTTTCACATGAACACCATCGAAAACCTTCATCAGCTTTTATTCTCCTCGCTCAAACAACCATATACATTGTGTATTAATGAAACTATCATTGCATAAGTTGAACCCATTTTATCGTGTTCCCTATTTTTCTCGTATTGATGACATTCACCGCGCACGTATATCTATCTATACACCAAATGATATGAAGGGATGAGAAGATGGAAGATGTATATACTTTTTCTCTTTATTGTGGTGGTTAAAGATCGAAGGTGTTTATTCAACCATGTCGAATCATTTGATAATTCGTGAGCGAGAACACAAAAAAACGGAAACAATCTAGTTAAAGATTTAAGTACAAAAAAGGTAAGACTTATAAACATTACATTTTATTTCATCGATGTTATTGAAGTAGTAGAAATTCGAATACAACTAACAGAATCATATTATAAAGAAGATATTATGGCTTGAGAATATTCAAGCAGAATTCTTCACGCAAAAAAAACGGTGTTCACAGATTTTCGGCGTTTCTCCAGAAAAGTCAGTTTTTTTCCCTTTTAGCCATTTTGTACGGGTATCTATAACAAAGGCTTTTTTCTTGTTGCAGATAAACCCAAGTTTTATAAAAGCCGTTTTTTGCTTAGAGAATTATTTTAATACTTTTGAGCATTGATATTGTCTTTATTAACAACTCGATCCGGCAAAATATTCATATACTACCATTGTCTAAGACATTCTATTCTCCTTGCTAAAAATATTTCAACATTAATCAATGGATTTTCTTTATAGAATAGGATAAACAGAGCACATAATGTTTCGAAATCCACCATATAATATACCGTCTGACTTCCCTCAAAATTTAGCCGATTTATCGCTTGGTACCAATCAATCCGATTTTGTACAATTTCAAGGACTACCCGTGTTTGATGGCTATTCAAATAATCCATCAATAGATGGCACCAATTTAAATTCAATGAAATGGCCATCGCCTGAAGATGTGCAACAAACATATCAACAAGGTTACACAGTTGTTCGACAATTTAATAATAGTGTTATCGACGATTACTATAAAAAATTTTTAAGACCAATTACCGATTATGTTGCTATACCGACAAATGGTCAACCCACATATGTTTATCAAAATTTGGGCACAAACGGACAAACAGTGGGTGCACAACAAACAACAGGTATGATTAACGACGGTTCTCTTTGTCTTTTATTACTTTGTTGTTCGTCTGATTAGATCAATCAAACGGGATTCAAAAACCTGTTGAGCCACCTATCCAAGCTCAAGAACAGTCGGATGAAACAGAGGAAAAGAAGCATAAGAAAAAGCATAAGAAAAAATCATCAAAACCAAACGGAGAATCGAAAACAGATGAAACGGACAACAATACACCATCAATCGCTGATCAACAGCAAAAACAAGGTGGCACTGAACATGGTCAAAAATCTGAAACACCTCCCACGGAGACGGTAGTCGATAGCAAGCATAGCTACCATAGTTCGAGCAAAAAGAAGAGTAGTAGTTCAAAATCGCACAAAAAATCATCATCGGACTCCCATTCAAAACATACATCCTCAACGGCTAATCCTGATCAAATACAAAACGGGCAGTCGCAGCAAGTTGGGTATGAACAACAGCAAAGACTATCAGCACAACAAGGTCGTTATGAACCACCTACCGATTCTCAACAACAAATAAAACGAACGCAACCGCCAGTGGTCGGTATAGGACGTTCTCCTGCAGTGAATTACGGGTAAAACGATCTTCTGTTCATAAATACTTTACTTTATTTCTTGTTTCTCTAGGCCAGCTCATGTCAGTGCACCAATGAAACACGAATCGAATCCTGTTGTTTATTTTGAGATTGAAATTGATGATGACCCACGAGGTCGTCTTGTTATGGAAGTATTTCGACATGCTTTACCACGCACGACACAAAATTTCTTAGCATTAGCAACAAATCAACAAGGCTACGGGTATCGTTTGTCTTATTTTCATCGTATAATACCAGGCTTTATGGCTCAAGCGGGTGATTTTGAACGTTCTGATGGTGAGTGATATAGATCTAACAAATGTGTTCCCTTCTTATTTATATTTTTCTTAAGGTACTGGTGGCTACTCAATATATGGCGAAAAGTTTGAAGATGAAGGATTTATGTTTCGACATGATCGTCCTGGTCTCTTATCAATGGCAAATAGTGGCCCGCATACAAATGGTTCACAATTTTTCATTACATTTGTTCCTTGTCCGCATTTGGATAATAAGCATGTTGTATTTGGACAGTTAATACAAGGTTTTCACCTATTAAAAGATTTGGAGATGAGTGGTTCGGACGGCGGCGAAGTAACAAGAGAAGTGAAAATAGCTGATAGTGGACAATTGCAATGAACAGTTCAAAGCATTAAAATGCGTTTTACGTAATATCGACATCCATTTTACTGAACGCAATAAATTTGGCTTTTTTTGCACATAGTATTTTTCTACACTGTGGGAATTAATGTGTTTTGTTGAAACATTTTCTGAAAGCAGTTCAAAAAAGCAATTGTCATCTTTTTTTCCAATTTTTAACTCAAAAAAATATTTTTACTTTCTCTTTTAAAAATCTATGGGTTTTCTTATCTGGGAATAAATTTCACACTCAAATACTGAACTTATAAACAATGCAATTTCAAAAGCATTTATCTACATATATGACAAGATGTATGAAACTAGTCTGGTAAGATTTTTCAATTTTTTAATCTATCTGGCTTTAAACATATAAGTATGACTTGCAATAGATAAGAGTACCATCAATTGGCATTTTTTATCCAGTCTGAAAGTTTGATGTACATATAAGTGTACATATGTGTCTTTGCATAAAAAAATTATCACTATCTACAGATGATACATGGATATTAACATCATGTACAACTATTTAGTATCTAAATCTAATTTCTATATATTTTAGTTTAAAATGAACATCAGTTGTTGATAGATTGTGACACATTAGGCATACTGAAAAATGACGATTTAATTCTAGTCAAGACGTTGAAATACCCACACTTTCTCCTGTATCTTATGATGTTGTAAATTTTTCAGGATGGATATCCATTATATGTTATGCGTCTACAATTTGAAGTACGTAAGTAATTTTGTACATCATCTATATTTCAAGACTAGAAGTGTATCGTATAAGGAATACTTTTGGAATATACTTGATTACATCCAATTAATCATAAGTTTCGCTAAATAGCAACAGTTAATCTTGAGAAGAAGTGAGAAGAAAAAGTGTTAGAACACTAAATAACATTAATTTTATTAGAAAATATAATTATCACTAAATTATTATTTAAACGTTGATTTCTCTTTTCTATTCGACGCGACTATGTAACTCTGCTACCGAAGTGAAATTTTGTCACAAAGTGTTGATATTTTGATCGTTCGACAAAAGACCGAGGCAGTGTAACATCTAGAACTGCAAAACAAATTTTTCAGAACCGTATGAGATTTCTTTGGGATCCATGTAATGTTTTATTTGACATAGCTTTCTGATTTGGTTAGTGAAGTATACTTTAATAGACAATAGGGTGATAGAGGGCAATAGCGTCTCAATCCTAACTAAGAATTCTTCTATTGACGAAAAAAATTAAATTGAATACATATAAAACTCCTGCAATCCCTACTAGCAGTGTGTATCTTGCAGTTTTTCCACTCTACATAACACACAATTTTCTCTGCTAACACTACAATAAAAATCTTTTACAATAGGACATTAATCAGTTTCATATATCTAGTGTAAATAATAAAGTAACGTTGACCTGATATAAGAAAAAAAAATGGCCTTTTGTATTTTCGTCTTATTGTGTATAATTTGAGAAAGAAAAAAAAAAAATCTTTAGTGAACTCTCGCTCATTTTATAATGAGCAAATGAAAACACAACACATTACTAAAGAAGAAAGAAAATATAATTTTCATTTGTCATGAATGAAAGAAAAGAGTTCAATGTATATTACAAATGCGAGTAGATGTCTTAACACACATATATATATATATTCGAGTGATGGAACAGTTGTTAACTAAGTATACAGAGTACAATATATCTCCTTTTATACTGAGTAAAAGTCACGAAGGACGTATAAATAGATGAAAATTAATACTGAGTGTGTGACCGATAGAATAGAGAATTTATGTCAGGTCATCTCAACCTCAGTGGTGATGTGATTATATACGGTTAACAACATCTTATATAGGTCATCTATTTGTACACATATAATAGTGTGAGATAAACTATTCAGGTAGTTGATGGAATGATGTGAAATAATTTGACTTTCAAGAAAATTCTCATCTATTTTAAAAATAACATTTACTGTACGAGAATAATAAGGATATAACAGCTGATCAGAAAGATCTTGTTTGTTAACTGCCCATTGTATTCTTTCTACGATACCAAGTAAATTATGATTCTGGTAGCATCAGACATAACTGACCGTGCTTAAAACATTTCTGTCACACTCAATCACAAAATCTGACTTAATAGCACACAGTAATATTTATCATCCTTAGAAACCTCACATACAAAGAGAGGATAAAGCTTTATGCTATTTGAATGGTTTCAAAAAAACAGATTGAATTTCCAATCGTCGGTTTTCTCCAAGTTAATTTTGTCGAAAAAGTAGACATGATGGTAGATTTTCAGTAGTAGTTCAGTGGTAGATCAGCTAAATCTTATAACAGATTTCGAAAAATCCAATCAGTTCGTAAAGAAAATGCACTAAATTTTATGTTTGACTCATTGTTAGTCAACATCTGTCATGTTGTACTGTTCTAAACCATTATTTTTGTTTTTTTGTTATTATTTGGCCTAGAATTGATGGCCGATAATTTTAAGCCTGTGCGCTTCTTTTTCTTAGTAAACAAGGTCAATAAAAAAAGTGCCTCGGTGTATATAATGGGAGAAAGACCAGTATTATCGAGAGAATTCGATAATGTTCTCTATTTGTAATACTATAACGTTCATCCTAAATTATATACGAATTCGTTCTTTCTTTTATGCATATAGAGAAGAAGAAATGAAAAAGTTGTCTGAATTATATCTATAAACAGCACAGAACAAAAGAAAAAAATCATGTTTTACACATTCATGGCCAGATTTTCTTCTTCATTCTCTATTATATTTGACCGATTGAACATGCAGCTGTTATATATACCACAAAATCGAGTAACGAGATGAGAAATGAGGCCATTCACAACAACAAGAAATGAAGTAAAGATAGAATTTAGTAACGGTCAGAGCACGATGACCTAAATAAATGACCGAACGAACGAAGAATAAAAATAAATTTGTATAGACATTGTACAAAGATAAGTACACATAGGATGAATGTATTATAAACACATGCATCTCATTAATCTGCAATGAGAGAAAAACATAGTGAAAAAGAGAGAGAAAGATTGAAATTAGATTACTCGATAGTCAAGTGACCCATATGGAAAGTGAATTAGGGCAACGACAACATTCTATGTAAGTAATGCAGAGAGAAAGAAAACAGAGCTAAAAGAAAATTCAAAATTAGAGAGAGATATGTAAAGGTCAACATGTTCAAATTAGTTTCATGTCCAGTCCAAGGTGAGAAGACGTCTTATGTATCCGTGTATTATTCGAACCTAAAAATATTATTTAAATTTATCATCGTCATTCAAGAAAACAATGCAGGTAACAAGAAAAACATGCATGAGTCTATTAGAAGCTGTCTCCTATTCTTTTTTTTGGAATAATTTTTGCTCAAATATAAATTTTGATTCAGAGGCATTTATTACTCGTTTATCGTTTGCAATACTTTCATAGAAAACAAATCCCATCGATATCTCTCTATATTCATGCTAACTCATTGTATTTTATAATGATTTCATTAAATTTTAAGTATATACTTATTTCATCAGTCTTTTTTATAATAGAAAATGCATGGTGAACAAATGAGAACGAAATATGCCCGTCATATGTTATCAACTGATATACATTCACAATTGAATATGCTTGCATTAATATCACAGCAATGTAACAATGGGAGATTAATTAATAATAGTAATTCATCACAATGCGTCTCATCATCGGAGTGGTCTTCATCCTCTTGTTCATCATCAATAACTGATCTTCAAGATTCAAAAAAAGATGGAGATTACAATCGTTTGTCAACAGACATGTCAATTGGAAACGTCAAGAAAACTATCAATCGTTCAACAAACGTTTTAGACACTTTAAATAGGTGAGAAACAGTAAGAACTAAACTGTGGATCTAGTTCTGAATATTATTATTCTCTTTAGAACGAATACAAATAAATCATCGCCAATACTACACCCTTACTCAATGACTCAGAATAATATAGGAAACAGTACACTTTCATTGCACCATCAAGATTCAACAAAAGTAGATCAAAAGCCATTTCCACCAATCATACACCAGCAACAACAACAACAGCATACTAATATAACTACCACTACGAATACATCATCAAAAATTAAATCAGCAACAAGTTCTCGATCAAATTCTGGTGAATGTCTTGTTAAAGTTGTGACTACTGCTGGCCCACAAAATGTTGATAAAGAATTTTTACAACAATTATTATCACGCAAAGATGTTATACCTCAACGTAAACGTCGGGATTTTATTCCAAATGAATTAAAAGATGATCACTATTGGGAAAGAAGGCGTAAAAATAATTTGGCTGCTAAACGTTCGAGAGAAAAACGTCGACTTAATGATATTGTACTAGGTAGACTCGAGGACTTTTCAATGTAGTGAATTATTAATCATTAATATTCTTGTATCTTTTTAGAAACAAAAGTGGTGGAATTAACAAATGAAAATGATGTATTACGCGCAAAATTAAATTTGATGCTAACAAAAATTAATATGCAAGAAAATGAAATGGAATTATTATTTGAAGAAGAACAACGTCTTGGAAATATATGTCTGAAACCTGCAACATCGGCCACAGCAATTATGTCACAAATGTGTAATAACAATGATGATAGTCAGTCATTGATTGAGAGTGGGATATCGACGACAAAAACGAATAGTGATGGTAATAAGAAATCAATGCATTCATTATTCAATTCATCGTCATCTGAAACAGCTTACAGTCATGAAGATGATCATAGCAATGATTCACAGCAATATACTGACAATGGAAATAGTCATCGTGATGAAGAAGATATGGAAGAAGAAGAAAAATTTAGTCATCGAGAACAATCCGCAGTGACAATGCAGTGTCAACAATTACAAAATGATTTTCTAAATCGTATGATGAATCCTTATGGTATTCAATCATCAACAATGACAACAACATCAGGCACTACCAGTCAGGCATTAGCACTTGCTGCGCGAACACAATACCCGTAAGTACTTTTTCGTTATTTAACCTGTTTTCACTAGTTTACACCGCATCTGAATGTTTTAGATTGCTATATAATCAATTAATTAGTATGAATATGATGAATAATATATCAATACCACCAACTGATGCTACTGCAATGGATCTATCAACAAGTGAACAGAAATTGCACTCAACAAGAACAACAAATCTTCTATGTCCGGTCGAAAAACATTCATCAAAAGTCGCCAATCGAAAACCATTACCATTACCAACACAACCGACAAATATTATGAGTAATGAATTAAAAACTGGAAATTTACTAACGACAAAAAGTCCTTCACCGCTAACACCGTCACCATCGCCTCCTCACGAATCTCTATTGCAAGTTCTTGCTAATCAAATGAAACAAGCAAGTGTTTTTGCTCATTCAACATCGACAACGCAGCCTCGTTTACTAACAACAGCCCCAAAAGAAAATAATCAAAATGTTAATTATTATGAAGAAGTATCGAATGATGATGCGGATGATAATGAGCCAATTGATAGCGGTAAAGCTAAAAATACATTGAAAAGAAGTTACAGTCATGTTGACGATTTACATAATCAAGAAATATCAAAATTGGATGAGACACAAATATTATCTCCAACGGTGAATAGCACTAACTCATCGTGGGATGATGCTGTTACGTTGTTATCTCTAACTGGTAATTATTCACAAG